GATTATATTATACTCTCCCACCCATCATTCTTAATAAACTTTACTATAATTACCCTGGCCAAGTAACTTATTATAACGTTATTAAGCACTCACCAGCTCTTCCAAGGACTCATATAATATGGTAACAATAGTCATCAAATTTTGCTTTCCTGAGGGTGATAACTATAGAGAGATTTGACTGTATACAATTATATCTAAAAAAATCTGTTGAATAACAGTCAACACAAAGAAAAACTAGATCAATTTGAAATCATTTTTGCCAAACTTGTAAAACAAATTATAGTAATTCATCAAAAAAAATTATTAGATAAAAGCAGATACTAAATAACTTGTAAAACTAAATACACTTGCATGAAAACTTGGAATGAAGATTAGTCTCTTATATGAATCTAAAAATACTGAAAATTCACAATTATATAGTTTATTAAAAGAATTCTATAATTCAAATCTTTTAAATAAATAATCATTTGATTATTACATCTTTTTAAATTTTATCCATTATTAATTTAGTATTTTTAATCTTATACTTCTAAAAAAGTAAATATATATATATAATTGTAAAAACTTCAAAAATTTATTAATTTATCTTTTATCATTTTCTTAGTTATATATTTTATTTCTTTACTTATTTAATATATCTTTTATAAATATTTCTGACAAAATTTTTACATTAGTTAATGAATTATATTTTAAAGTATAACAATAATATTCAAAAATTTAAATAGAAATTAGTAGTAATGGACTTCAATTTTTAACAAATATTATTAAAGTTCAGCTAAAAACAACAAGTACTAAAGATTCTTTTAATCTTTTCAGCTTTGAAAAAGAAATAACATCAAATTTGCTCTTGATAACAAATATTGATATAATATTAGAATAATTATTTAAAAGCTCAATAGAAATAGTTCAACAAATTTCAATACATGAAGAAAATTCAACAAGAAATAAAATCTAAACACCTTTAGAAGAAGATATAATCAAAGCTATAAAAAATATTTTTAAAGATAATTAATTAGCAGAATAATCATTACGATTATTAATAATAGAAGAATTGTTAGAAACTTATAAAGAATTGTTGAAAGATAGTAAATATATTATGTCTTCAATCTATTATAAAATTGAAAGAATACTATTGAATCTCACTAGTAATTACAAGTTATCTAGAAAATAATATTTTGAATTTAGATGATTGTTTAAAAGTAAAATCAGCATTGTGAATGCTACTTCAAAATATACATTGATCTTACAACTTTATTAATATTTCAAGGATCATAAAAATATATAGAATAGATAAATATTTAACTTCAAAAACAATTGAAAAAATAAATCAAAAATCTAGTGATCAATTAAAAGAAAAGATATTTCAACCTTTTAATTTTATAAAGCAAAATCTTAACAGCGAGAGTCCTATTGTATAATGAACTTTAATTGAATAATTTACTAAATTATTACACTTAATATTATTGGATTATAATTATCTTATCTCTTATTGAAAGAATCTAATTACGTGAAATGAGCAAATGAACAAGCGAATGAATGAACAAATAAGTAAACAAACAAGTAAATGAGCAAATAAATAAGCAAATATTAGATCAATAAAATTTAAGTGATCTAGCAAACATGAATTCATATAGCTGATGAATTATAGTTTGGATTTGTATAAAAGCAGCATGTATTATAGTTATTAAAATTAGATTAGAACAAGTTCTTTAATAGTAATATTTTTAATTATTACCTTATAGTTAGTTATCATATAGTTTTAATTATTCATATGAGCAAAGTTTGCACTTATTGTAGAATAAGTAATCAAATACAAACTCTCTATACCTCTTTGACAAAGTATTCTTGTTTCTTGTATAATCACTTTATCTTTGTCATAAGTGTTATATAGATCTTGAATTAATATTATAGTAACTTAAGCAAGATTGCCAAGAGTACTATAAAAAGTTATTATCTTAATACTAGATTATCTGAACATATTTGTGATAAAACCTATTGAATATTATATTAAATAAAGAAATTATTATTATAATTTATAAATCTATCTTTGAGATTATATTGCTAATACTATATTACTCATAAACTTATCTTCGATATTGTATTGCTAATAATATATTATTCACCTTTGATCTTATATTACTAATAATATGAATATTATAGTCTTTATAACTTTGACTCTGAGATTTTGAGAATTCTTTTTAATAATTTAAATTATTACATTTAAAAGAATATAACTATTACCAACTTTTAAGTAATTCTATTGTTAATACTTTTAATATTTATTCACATTCAGTCTAATAATCATAAAGTATTGTTAATATTTTGAATTATCATTAAGATATTGGAAGTTTCTCTTTGAATATTTTATAAATCTCTTTGAGTATTTCAAAAATCAATCAAAATAATAACAATATAACTCAATTATTTAAATAACAAAGATAATATAAGGAAATAAATAAACATTTATCTCTAAAAGAAATAATTTTTATTAGTTTCACAATCATTATTATCCATGTAATCATGATTTATATGAAAAAAATCATAGTAATATATTACGTATAACATATAATGACTCACATATATAACAGAATATAAAAATTAACTTTTTAGCATTTTTATTTCCATAACTATTAGTTTGAACAAAATAAAAAAAGTGTTTATTTGAAACTCTAAATCCTCTAATATTTTTTAAAAATAATTTGACAACAGATTATTTTGTGAAATAGAGTGATTTAAATCAAAATTTATAATTAGTAAATTTCTCACATTGAAGAACTTTTTTTCTATAATGGATCCAAATTTGAACCACTGATTAAAAATGTACTATATAAAATCTACTTATTTACCAATTTTCATAAAAATCAGCTTAATTTATATAGATATTTAAGATCCTAAAGTCTGAATCTATGCTAGAAGCATTAATACATGAATTAATGCTCTTGTATATGGCTAAATAAAAATTTGATTTGATAGACTTATTTGAAGGATTGTAATTCAGGATCTGATAAGGCTAACGATTTTATGGAATAAGTCCAGGACGGTCCCTTTTGGTCCTGGGTCCGGATCGGACTAAAAATATTTTTTAACGTCGCTAGTCCCATTACGCTTTAGAGTTTATTTTTCATGTGTGTGCGTTTTTGGTGTATTTGGTGCATGTTTTGTGCATGTGTTTTCTGGATGTGTATATGTGGGTGCCTTCTTTTCCGCACAATAAAGGCGTGAAGTATAGTAAAAAGATCTAAAAGAATTTGGACTCGTATATAGAAATTGCGGGAATAATGAGTAAACTCCATCATCATGGGAGTGACGAAAGTCAACGAAGACATTGATTGCGTCTTATCCTTATATATTATAAAAAAATATTCAAAGGAACAAAAGCGGCAATCTGTCCGATAAAGTGTTTTAATGGTATATATTTTTGGCCAGCCTTTTGCTTATGAAACTGATATTGGGATCAAAAAAGTATTTTCGGTCTTGGTACCAAAAACGGACATGGTATTTTCAATTATCATTCTAACCAATCAAATCACAAGATATTTTGCATACACATTTATCGAGAAAATAATTTATTAATTTTAGGAGCCATCAATTAGTTGTAATTGATTGGATGGTCTGTGAATTAAATGTCACGAGCGAAAATTTTCAATGCATAAAAGAAAAAATGAAGAGAGCTTCCTTTTTCTTTTGGTTTAAACATTCGCATTTTACACATAATTCAACAATGTCAATCAACTTTACCAGCGCGTCCTCCTTCTCTTCCCATTCATCATCTTTAAGCGGAATCTCTTCGAAAAATGAAAAGAAAACTTATCCGCATATAGCATTCATTGGTGGCGGCAACATGGCAGAAGCGATTCTCGAAGGATTAGTATCTTATGGCTTTCCTCCGCAAAAAATCTCAGTCTCTGAACCAGTGCCGACACGTACTGCCTATTTTTGTGATCGTTATTCAGGTCTGAGGGTGCTTGAAGGTGATAATCCTGCTGCTGTCACTGGTGCAAAGAGTGAAAAATTGCGTAGTGGTGGCGAGGAAACGGGGGTGGCGGAGGTTGTGGTTTTTGCAGTCAAACCTCAGATTATGAGTTTAGTTACAAAAGAGTTACGTGACGAAATACAAAAGATACAACCATTGGTGGTTTCAATCGTTGCCGGAATTAGAACGCGAGACATTGCTCGATGGTTAACAACCGGTGTTGCCAAACCCCCAATTAAAAATAAGCACGGGGAAGTGATATCAAATCAAGATCAAGATACTACCTCGACTCAGAGCATTCCAATTATTCGTTGCATGCCAAACACCCCAGCATTGATATTAGAAGGAGCAGCAGGATTATACGCAACTCTACACGTAACAGATGCACAGAAAGCCCTAGCCGAGGAAATTATCGGGGCAATAGCCAAAGAATATTCTTGGTTGCAGGATGAGAGTTTAATTGATGCTGTAACTGCGTTAAGTGGATCAGGACCAGCTTACTGTTTCTTGATGATGGAGGTCATGGGTAAAACAAAACCACTAATTATTGTTAATTTACATTTGGCTTTTTGGAACGTAATAATAATTGCTTTGATAGAACACGTATGAGTTTATTATCTATTTATAACTGTTGATTTATAGAGCAAGCCGCTGTGGATCTCGGAATCCCGAGAGATATTGCTAGTAAATTAACGATTCAAACATTTGTTGGTGAATAATTATTAGTATACAATTACTCAGATCTTTAAAAAAAATCGATTTCGTTCTAACTTTATCCTCTATTTAACAAAGGCGCCTCAAAAATGGCACAAGCAAACACAAAAACAATAACCCTCGCTGAACTTCGACGTCGCGTCACGTCACCTAACGGAACCACTGAAGCAGCATTAAAACACATGGAGAAAGAAAACTTTTCACACGTGGTATCAGATGCGGTAAAAGCTGCTGATCGTCGTTCAAAAGAATTGGCCGAACAGTTTGGAAAAGATTGATTGATATAGCAATACTTGACATAATACAAATTGTACATAATAAATATTAATAAAATAAAAACATAAAAAAAAAGAAATTTTTGTTTACACAGTTAAACAGATCCTGAACTATTTTTTCCTGTGTTTGTATCACTTCCTTCGACTTGTTCTCGCGCCAATTTGAGCCAAAAATTAAGCGCGACAGCCAAAAATAGTGTAAAGCAAAGTATTGTTGGGAAAACAAGATCGTCTTTAAATAAATAAATCAATTAATAACTATTCAAGAACGCGAATTGCTCAAACCATTCTTGTAAAGATAAATGATAGCTTGCTTACCATAAGGCCCTGGATTCCTCGAATTTATCATATCAACACGTTTATGATATTGTGAAAGTGCATAAATCAACACAATCACGCTAATAGTTGAATACAACAGCCCACAGAACCTTCCGATATTATCTTCATTGCCAGCATTGAACAGTGCAACTGAAAATGTTCCCAATAACATACTAAACCTAAGCCACGAGAAGAAAGTTCTTTCATTTGCAAAGTAGACTTTTGCCTCAACGCGGATTGGAGTCTCAGGTTTTTGAGGAACGCGTACAGCCGGTGGTAAACTGACTGGCTCGGGTTCAGGTTTCTTCGGTGTTCCAATAAAGAAATCAATGAGGTTTGGTAGATTAAATCCATGTGCATCCTCACGTTTTCCTTTGCCAAGTAATGGTGTACGTTCATTAGACTCCTCCTCTTGTCCTTGGTTGTCTACAGCTTTACCTTTTCCTTTCCTTTTGTTGTTGTCACCAACTACTACTTCAACATAGTTAACTTTTGATGATGATGAACGTCTTTGTGCATTATTATGATTATTAGAATTGCGACCATTTGATGGAATAAACATCGGTAATGTTGATGACGTTGAGGAAGTAGGCTTATAATTAGGAGGTTTGAGAATGTCTTTATCTACATTAGGTAGCTTTAAAAAAATAAAAATACAATAAATTATGTGATTTGGTATCATCGGTATATTTTTAAAAAGTTCTGTTATTAGAGCATACCCAAAATGGCAATGATGGAGCTTGTGATGTAAACAATGTGGCTGCGCCATGGACAAATTTGGAAAATTGTGGGGCTTCTTCAACCTTTAAAAATTGTGACATTCAATTATAATAGTTAATAGACAGTATAATGAAATGGTTGGAATTTGTATCGATTACGTACCAGATGACTCTCTATCAATTCTCGTATCCATTTGGGTTCTTGTTCATTTTCTTCTAATTTCAGTTTAATCTCCAATACAGCATGAGGAAACTTGGAAATGTCTGATGAAGGTAATTTATTGAATGAACTTTGATCATCTTCTATGTCTGCACGACGCCATTCTCCATCCTTGCGTCGTTGAACACCATCAAAATTGTCCTCGCGGATTGACACAAAGTCCGTATCAAGTGAAATCCTACAACGTGAATCTCCAGGAATCTGAAAGGCCATGCGATTGTAATTCGTACGAAGGACTTTATTGCATGGATAAGAAAATGCATTAATAAACTAATAATTAGTTTAAATAAAAAAACCGGATAATACCTGGTTTAAGGTTTTTCTCTAGTATCGTGTTCTGAATATCGGAGACCAGCTTTTCAAAGTGCTTAATCTCCTCTTCTTTCTTAATGGGAGCTTCCTTCATTTTATTTATAGTTTTCTGCATGGAATATTGTCCCCGGAGGAACGGAACAATATATTTTTCCTTGATAACAAATCGATCCTTGATCTCTTCCTCGCCTTGTTGATGAATCTTTCTCTCAACAAAAGCCTCGTTCGTTGTCTCTTTATTGCCATACCAACGTATCCTGATTATTTGTTCACCGCCTTTGCGATCAATCTTATCCTGGTACAAATCGAAGTTCTGACTGTCAAAGTAGATGGTACTAATGGATGGCTCGGAGGCAGCTTTATAAATAAGTACAGGAAGGTGCCGAAGAATTGTCGTTTTCACTTCCATGATATTATTAGGATGAACCCAGAATTTGTGATTTTGTCTTAGGAATCGTTGGGTTGATAAAATTGTCGGCGGTTTCCATGAGGACGAGAGAGAGAAAGTAACAGGCGAGGATGGAATATTTTGGCCTTGTTCGTGGCCTAATCCCATGTGTACAATATGATAGAGTTTGGAAAGTTGCACAATGATTGGTTCATACGTCTCTTTGTAGAAGGGACACGCGTTTAATCGGACATTAAACATTGGGCGCAGTATATATCGTGTTCGTCTGAAATAGGAAAATCACGCGTAGGAAAAAAATTAAGCTCTTGAATAATCTAATCGGACTCAACAATCATAATGTACCTACCTATCGTGCTTCTTTACAATTTTAATGATACCCGTGTAATTTAAACGAGCGTATTTAGCCAACTCGTTCAGCTCTTCAGTGATTGCATTAATCTCGTTCTCCACTTCTGCATACCTATCTGGAACATTCATCGAAGGACTCCGAGTTATCGAGGCAACCGCGTTTTCGCAGTGGTGTACGCGGTCTTTGATCTCATCGATTTTGGAGTTTTGGAAAGCATAAATCTTTATATTGTCGAAAATCAGAAATCATTTTTCAGGATAAAACCTTTTTTTTGCATGACGAATTTGAAACATAAAAATCTTGGTACCTTCTCTAACTCTTTATCTAAGCGTTCAACGAATTCTGACTCATCTCTTTCAGTATACCCTCCTCCTTGTTTTTCCCCACGTTTCAAATGCTTCTTCAAACCACTATAATCAAGATAGTATACTTGCCATTCTTGGTACAGGGCAGCTTGAAGCTGACTTCCAAACTTCATTTTACTACTCTTAAAAAATTCAAATTACAGAAAAAATTAAGAACAGCAACTCGTATTTTCTTATATTGTTATTTTCAAGACTGACAAGAAAAGCGCGTATTTGCGTGGTAGAAACTCACACTTATACTTTTCAATGTTTTTAGTCACACAAGTATTTGCTTCTCGGTATGGAAAAAAGAGTAGATCGAACGCACCACGTTTTTCACGTTTTTCAAGATGATTGGTATTAGATGTTAAAATTACCGTCATCATGCTGATCTTGAGACGCCGAAAATTATGATGATTGTGTAATCATAGGACCACTCGCGAAAACTGTATTGATGGCGATTTGGCGTTATAATAATCACAATAATATATGTGTGTCTCAATCGTGCATTACGGTTGTACTATGATCATCAGGAATATCATTAAAATGTGTAAATTACTTGTTTTTATACTATTAAATTTGAAGAGTTGATCAAATAATAATATAGTTTGTGTTTCTTGATTCGAACGCCTTTTATTCATTCACCCTTTTTGCTTGAAGGATATATAATAACACTGTTAAATAGCATCAGATCTCTACAGTTCGAAGAAAATACTATTGCATCTCATCTGTCTCATATATCAACACCGGAGCTTGTTTCTCGTCTGTCTCATCATCACACTGTTTAACTAAGAGGAAAAAGACACTTCCTAAGAGCAAAAAGTATAATAAATCGTCTATTATAGAGCGCTGTGTATTTGTGCAATATTCTCAGCAATTCCTTTATAATAATATACACTCCACTCCCGCTATAACGGACTGAAAAATCAGTTTGTTATAGTAAATCTCTGCTATAACGTTATTAACAAAGTGAAGCATTGCTCCGCTATATGGTGCAAACGGTCTAAAGACGTCCAATATATCCAATACTTTAAACTGTAAAGGATTTGCATCCAAACACTTTAACCACAAAAAAAATACGTTGCTAAATAACCTTTGAGAACTATAATATAACGTATTTTTCTTGTGATTCAAGTGTTTGGATGAAAATCCTTTACAGTTTAAAGTATTGGATATATTGGATGTCTTTAGACCGTTTGCACCATAGTACTACAATATTACATTATGATTAATTCACGCTTCTCCCAGCTACGAGTTAGTTTTTCTTCTGATTTCATGCGTCTTTCAGTTATTTGTTATGAAGTCCAGTCAAAGCTGGATCATATAACGATATGTATTAAATCTTATTATAGCGATAAGATTTCTATTTCCCATTTTATATGACAACATATAAAATTTCTGTTCATTATAACGACATTTTTCAAATTTCATATGTACAATTTCATCGTTATATCCCGCTTTGACTGTAAGTCGAGAGATTGCATTTATTTCGGGGAAAACACTTTGCTTTTTTGAGGTTGCTTTAGTTCCTCTCAGAATCTTGGTTTTGCAATACGAAAAAAATTTTGAATTACAGAAAAACTTCTAAAATTTAAAGATTGGTTCATGATACATAAGAAGTGATAGTAAAATAATATACATGTGCAAAGAAAATGAGATATCGATATTCCCAAATGGAATTTTTTAATTATGCAAGGTATTGTTGGCAGTTACGCAACACCCAAAATGATCAAAAACTATCGCTATTGTTCTGTTGTGATAGGCACCAACAAAACTTTCTAGTCGGAGTTCTTGTACGAGTGTGCATCAGTGTGCGTGTTGTTGATAATAGACAGTTATCGTTATATTATTATTATTATTATTTACAATTAATAGTAATCATTCAAACAGTAGACTTTCGAACTTATTACTCATCTCTGGCAACTGAAACTGACTGGGTAATATATATTTCTCAATTAAAGGCTGACTTCGCCTATTGTATCTTCGACTGAGAGAACATTCGTTCCGCAATGACGGATGCTCAAACTCGAACCATCGAGCAACAACAAGGATTTAATAATAATAGTATTAACGACAACCATTTTAACGCTGCCTCCTGGGATAACACTACTACTAGTATTACTACCAATACTATTAATAATAGAGATAACCCGAGCGTAAATAATATCTCGTCGATGGCACCACCTCAAGACTACACATATGACCAGCCCGTTTCTACCTCTGCCTCGCAATCACGTGGCGGCAGCAACTGGTCGAATGCGAATGGAACCTCATATGTACCACCGCAAGCTACAACGTGGAACGGACAAAGTCAAACTAATGGTTCTATAATAGGTAAATACATTGAAAAACACGCGTCTCCTTTACTCGAGAGATTGATTAACTAAAAACTATTCATGGTAATGTGTGTCAATTAATTAATTAATATTCTTTCTGTCGTATAGCTTCCAGTTCAGCCGCATACAATTCTTCTTCAAGTTATAGCGAACAGTCGCATTCAATTCATAATAATAATAATAATAATAATAATAATAATAATAGCAGTAATTTTACGCGACCGCCTGCTCCTAATGGAATAACGATAAATACTAGCAATTTACCGATAAGTAATAATTCAACAATAATTAATACGGAAGGTGGCAAAATTCTGTGTGTTGCAGATATCAGAGGCGAGTTTTAGCTATTTGTCGAGTCTGTTTCTTTTTATGTGATACTTTTTATCAAGGAATCTCAACCGATTTAAATTCTTTTTCAGGTCATATTTCACAATTGAATACTCTTGCTGATGAGACTGGTGCAAAATATGTGATACATACGGGAGATTTTGGATTTTATGGTGTGTAGTAATACGTTTAACAAGTTTGCATTTTTTTGAGTTTAGGTTTTTACTTTTATGAATGCTTTATATTATTCTCTTAGAAACGTCAACTTTGGAGAGAATCAATACAAGGTGTGATATATTCAATAGACTCGCGCCTCGAGTTCCACAAAGTGTAGACGCACTCAACAGTCTTCTTTAATTTTAGAGCACTACGTTATCTGGTTCGATATAGCAATCTTGTGTCTCCTCAAACTCGCGCACGTCTCATAGACGAAAATGTGAGCACACAAGAGCTACGAAGTGAAATTCTAGGTTCAGAGAACCCACTTCTCTCGGAATTTCCTTTGCTTCTTGATGGGCGACTGAAACTCAAAGTTCCTGTATACGCTGTCTGGGGATCATGTGAAGATATTTGCGTGCTCGAGAATTTTAGATCCAAGAAATACGTTGTGCCAAATTTATTTATATTAGACGAATCAAACACACAGCTTATTGTTACAGGAAATGTGAATTTGCGGCTTTTTGGATTAGGAGGTGCTGTCGTGCCGCATAAATTGTTCGATAACGGAGAAGGTACATAAAATATTTTTTAAATTTACATTATTTGAATGATGATTTATCATCATCTTATTGATGTTTGAAATTAGGAACGGGCACAATTGCCGGTGGTGGTGGTACAATGTGGACTACGACTCTACAGATTGGTGAATTGATCGATACAGCTCAGAAAGTGTGTATTGCTCAATATTGCTACTTTTCCATTCAATAACGACACTGATTGACGCATGATGTTTTTCAATTAAATAGTTTTATCATCCTAGCGAGACCAGAGTTCTTGTCACTCATAATAGTCCTGGTCGAGTAGGATTGCTTGCCCAATTATCTCTTGTTCTAAGGGTAATCTCATACATATATTTCAATACTAGTATATACCATAAGAATTCAACTAATATTATGTTGATAGGCTGACTTTACTATCTCAGCGGGACTGCATTTTCGTTACTGTGTTTCATATAACGAATTCGCAGTACAATGTGACCAAGAGAACTTTAGAAGCAAACTAGAAAATTCACGAAAGAGCTTCTATCACATGTACAATTCTATTAAGGAACAAGTAGAAAAAAATATCGAGTAAGTTTATTGTTTGGTCATGCTGGCAGCTTTTATCACAGAAAATATTAATGATGGCTATTTTCTTACACTTGTCATCAAACATAATAGTACTGCACAAAAAACACTTCTTGACAATGCATTAACCGTGGTTAATCGGGTTCCGGCTCAAGATAAAGAAGAGCTTGCTTTTAAAAATATATGGAATTTTAATTTACCTGATGCAGCATTCGGATATATATTATTGGATATCAGTGATGGGCGGATATCAGCAGAAACAAAATCTCAAGGTTTCTATCGAGTTATTATGTACTGATTTATTCTGTCGATTTTATTTTAACATATATATATATTAAAAAAACAAATATAGGTTTCAATTTTGCACATCGTCGAAATAATATGCCGGCAGATGGTCCAAACGGTACAACAACGAACTCAGTTAACCAAGCCCCTGACAGTCCAAACGCTATTAATCCTGTTAGCCGTCGTCAACCATCACAATGGCAGACGCTCACACCTCCTCAAGCTCCGCCAAGCATTCGATCACAGTCACCCAATATATTAAATAATAGATCTGTATCGCCTGCCAATATAAACGATCAAGGTGGAAACAATAGTTCTTTCCGTTACGATACTGTATCATCATTACATGTTCCAAATGAAACCATTTCTCGAAAAGGAACGCCATCGCCAAATGATTTCCCGGAAACAAAAACAAATAGCTCTATGAACAGTAGTACTACCAGCGTCAATAATACTACTAACACTACAACCACCAATAATTATACTATTAATGACAATGAGAGCAACAATGATAATACAGAAATTAATAATCATGGCAGCACCCTTACAACGCAAAATTGGGCGGATCAATCAGACTATTTAAATAATAATAAATATTCCAATTATAATCTCAATGGCGACATTCATCGTTCAGAATCTCCTAAAATCGGAAATAATAACAATATTCAAAATGAAGATGATGATGATTCTTCGTCAAACAGTCCAAATGAGTCGCTCAATCAAAGTGAAAATCAAAGTCAAACTCAAAGTCCAAGTCAATCTAATCAAAGCTATCAAAACCATAATCAGAATCGAAATAGGGTATAAGATTTTCTTTGTTGTATGATAAAGGAAATATTACATTATTATTATTAACACATTTAATTTAAATATATTCCGATCAATTTAGCGAAATCAACTATCGGTTTACGTAGGCCAATTGAATCATCCGCCGGTTACGGCTGAAGATCTAAAAAACGTCTTTTCCTCAGTCAAAGACGGTGTAAGTTTAAAATCTTGTGGTTTAATATAGTGGGTGCATTAATATATGCTAATTTTTCACCTCATACCAGATCGATAAGGTACGAATACTGTATGAGAAAACTGATCCATCAATTCAACGTAATTTTGCATATGTTGATTTTCTGGACGAAGCATCTCTACAAAAAGCCCTTCTTCTCAATGGAGAGGTAAATAAGATTTATTAATTAAATTGAATTAGTAGTACATTTCATTTGCATTTATTCTAATACATATAAATAAAATATATTATTTAGAAATTGAGAGAAGATACACTAGTTATCAAGAGGGCCGAAGATCGAAGTTTTTATGATTATCGAAACCGTGGTGGTCGAGGACGTAGCCGAGGGCGTGGTAACTATCGCGGTAACTATCGCGGTGGTCCCCACCACCATAATGGAGGAGGTGGCGGACATAATGGTGGACAGAATTAAAGTAAATAATAGATATTATTACACGAACAAAAAAGGAAAGTATATTCTTTTTTTATTATGGTTCATTTTCTTATAGATCTGTGGGTTTTATTATATGTATATTTAAATTAAATATTATATCATATTATTCTTCTTTATATATAACTTTGAAAAGTTATATTATTTCTTGGTTTTTATATTTGTAAATTTGTTGAAAGATCAGTTTTTTGTAGAATTTATATAAATTTCTTTTTTTATTATTTAAAATACTCATGTCACGTAAATTTATCTCCCTTTCTTCTTTTTTCCTTTCCTTTTTTGTCTTTTTTAAATATATAATGTATGTATAATTTTCTGGCCTTTGTGCTTGGGTTGGGTGTGATTATATAGTAAGTAGTATGATTCTGTTTAGGATTACTACCTATGATGATTATCAGATTTTCTGTCTTGTGGAAAATGAAAATAAACTTGTGAGCAAGAGAATAAATGCAGATGTTTAACTACTGCATAGTTATTGATGCAGAATTTCTATTGATTCGGGAAATTCTTTACCTAAAAATAGAACATTCATCAGGTCAGGGTAACACCGGGAACGAGGCGTCAGTAGGGACGGGGCAGTTCCATATCGCGTCGATAGGCTATCCAATGTCACGCCCATTTCCTAAATTAGAATCCTTTTTCGCCATTCTTCAATAAAATTTTCTTTGCTTCTTTCTCCTTTGAAGAATATTGTAGACTCATTTTATCCTATTGATTCGATAAATAATTTCACGATTTGTTGAGGTTTCATTAAGTGTTGAGATTAAAGACTATATTTTTGAATACACTTTTGGTACATTGCAGATCACTTAGTCACCACAATTGCTGCGCCGCCTGAGTTGTATATCAATACCCAATCAGATATTGATGATCACTAATTTTTCAAAGAAAAAAAAGAAAAAAAATTCTAATATATTAATTCAAATACATATATAATAATGATTTCTTGTATTTTAATATTATTAATATAGATCATTTATTATACAGCACTTTATAATAATAATTATTAATAAATACATATTATTATAATATGAATTTTAATATATTACATGATTTATTATATTTTATTTTCATTGAATAGTTAATTTATATGTAATTCATAGAACACATTATCTTTTATTTCATATTTTATTTATATTATTTTATATTATCTTCATATTATAATTATTAATCTTATATTAAATAATCTTAATATAAAAAATATATATTAATTAATCAATATTATCTAAATTGATTAATATTAATTATAAATTATATGTAATATTAAAGTGGGTGATATATAACAATTAAGTGAGCAAGTAAGTAAAATAAGAAGTGCTTTTCATATAATATTATTATCAATTAAATTTAATTCTAAATTTTGATGATCAAATAACAAATAATTTGTATAAATATAATATATATTTTAGCTTTAGAAGATAAATTAGTTTTGAGAAGTAGGTTTATTTTTAATTATTTTATATTCATTTAATAATTTCTTATAATCTTTCATCTTAATTGTGAAATTATTATTGTTATTTGATTTATAATTTCTTGTTTATATTATGAAGTTATATAGTCAAATCCCTCTATAGTCATATCCGTTATAGTCACATCTCTTTATAGTCATCCTATTTTGCTTTTTCATTTACATATAAACATAATAAAAAAATTCCTCTATAGTTATATTCTTTCTATAATCACCAAATTTTACTTTTCCAAGGATGATGACTATAGAGAGGTTTAACTGTATTTCTTATAATATTTGTAATTGATTTCTTGTTTATATAGTCAAATTTCTCTATATTCATCATTCTCAGAAAAGCAAAATTTGATAATTATAGAGAAAATATGATTATAGAGAAAATATAATTATAGAGAAATTTTTTTATTATGTTTATATATAAATGAAAAAGCAAAATAGGATGACTATAGAGAGATATAATTATAAATAGATGTGACTATAGAAAGGTTTGATTGTATTGCAAAATTAATAATATATAATTGAATTAATAAAAAGAACTTATATTTTATTTATTTATAAATTACTTTAAAAAGAATATAATCATTTTTGAATATTTTTGATTTTATTTTAGCTGGTCAACAAATAAATATATATTATTTATCTTTAAATATTTGTATTTTTTCTTTTACTTGAAGTTATATCTTATAAACTTTTCTATTTGAAGTTATAATTTATAAACTCTTTTACTTAATATAATTTTACATGTTATTTACATATTTTTCTATAACAAATCTTAAAATTATAAAAAACAGTAATAATATATATATATATATATAATCAAAAATTTTTAAATTAATATATAAATCTATAAAAATTTTTAATTTTTAAAAACTATTAATTCAATAATTAGGATTTTTTCAGTCAAAAAAATATATATTAAAAATTCTTTTTAAATTGGGATTATATAAAATATATATACATACTCCTATACTATATTACTGAAAATTGAAAAAAAAATATAATATAATATAGTAATAATGTTAATTTTACTATATTATATTATATTTTTTTTTCAATTTTCAGTAATATAGTATAGGAGTGTATAATATATAAAATTTAAAGTTATCAAATATTTATATTTTATAAATTATATAAATTTTGCAATTAGATTAATTTTGTCAGAAAAAATCCAAAAAAAATATATTATAAATTATAACTTATAATCTTTGTTTTAATATAAAATAAAAAATAATTATTAATAAAATTATATATATAATAATATAATTTTATTAGTTATTATATATGATATAATTATATATTGTTACTATTTGATAGTTTGGATCACATGTAAAATATTATGTGATAATCATTTATATTTTTTTATATTTTTTTATTTATAATTCTATTTATAATTATTTAATTTATTTAATTTACACATAATTTATCAAAAACATCAATTAATTCTTTTTAATATCACATTATTTATTTTATTATAACATTATTGGATCTATTTTAAATTAATTTTATTTAATATTAATTAATGTAATACTAATGTTTCTTTAATTTTAATTGTATCACTTAGATTAAATTAGTATTATACTTATCATTTCTTGGTATTATACTTATTTCAAATTTATTTTATAACTGTTTTTAAGTAATGTCACTTATAATATAGATCCATATTATATTTATATATATTTAAATAGATATAATTTAATATAGAATAACAAGTATCTCAGTAATAATTTTGAAAGTAATAAAAGTATAGAAGTTAACTAATA